TACATTAGCATCTCTAAGGATAAGACCCAAACATCAGGATTTTTTTTTTTTTTTTTTTTTTTTTGAGACGGAGTTTCGCTCTTGTTGCCCAGGCTGGAGTGCAATGGCGCAATCTCGGCTCACCGCAACCTCCGTCTCCTGGGTTCAGGCAATTCTCCTGCCTCAGCCTCCTGAGTAGCTGGGATTACAGGCACGTGCCACCATGCCCAGCTGAACATCAGGATTTTTTTAAAACCTCCCCAGGGGATTCCAATTTGCAATCAAGGTTAAGAACACTCGCCATATGCAGTGGTTCTCAGAGTGGGGTTCCCAGACCTGCGGCACAGTATCACCTGGGAACTTGTCAGAAATAGACATTCTTGGGCCTAGTCCCAGCCCCAGCCCTCCTGAGTCAGATGCTCTGAAGGGAGGGAAAGAGAGGTCATGATCTGTGCATTAACAAGCTCTGTGGGTGATTCTGGTGCAGAATCTGTTGCTCAAACTTGAGGACCCTTTTTACAGAGCGGAGGTCAGCAAACTTTTTTTTTTTCTGCAAAAGGCCACAGAGTAAATACTTTAGGCTTTGCACGCTATATAGTTTCTGTTGCAACCACTCAACCCCGCCTTTGCAGCAGAAAAGCACTCATAGACACTTTGTAACCAATGAGCATGGCTGTGTTCCAGTGAAACTTCATCTATAAAACAGGCAGTGGGCCACCCTTGGCCCGTGGGCCATCGTGTGCTAGCTCTTGTGTGCTAGCATAGCACATCCACGTCTTCACTCATCCTGTCTCAGGGCCAACTAACTGAGGGGCATATCCTCATGAACACAAGCTCGGGGATCAGGCTCTGCAGCCCTGGCATAATCCCAGAGGCACAGAGTGCAGAGGCACAGACCCTTGCTCCTGAAAGAAACAGGTGAAACTGAAGTGTTTGCACCAAGCCCCTCTCCCCTCCAGACCTCTCTACCAGCATGGGAGCTAAAGGATAAACCACTCTCTGGCCCTCCTCCTTCCCAGAAAGTCCTCTTAGATCATGCAGGTAGATAAAGACTCCCTCTGCCCCACCCTATGGGTTATCTACCTCTAAATCACAAAAGAAGCAAAAATTTTCTTCAAAGCAACAAAGACACCAGGTAGAATGTGCTCTGTTTAAAACAGATTATGAGGCGCCAGATGCTGTGGCTCATACCTATTATCCCAACACTTTGAGATGCCAAGGCAGGAGGATCACTGGAGCCGAGAAGCTCAAGACCGGCCTGGGCAACATAGACCCTGCTGCTACAAAAAAATTAAAATTATAAAAAAAAATTAGCTGGGCATGGTGGCACACACATGTAGTCCCAGCTGCTCAGAAGGCTGAGGGGAGGTTCCCTTGAGCCGGGGAGGTAAAAACTGCATTGAGCCATGATTGCGCCACTGCATTCTAGCTCAGGCAACAGAGCAAGACCCCGTATCAAAAAAGAAAACACATATGTGGCAAGGAACAGTTAATGTGTTTACCAACCACATAAAACTTTACTCAACTTGGGCAGGTCTAGGAGACAGTGGTAGGGATACACATACACACACACACACACACACACACACACAATACACACGAGCCCACCTTGCAAACAAGCACACCACTATCGGGGGCCTCTCCACATGCATGATGGGGACCTGCCCCACAAACGTGTGGGTGCTGCCTCTGGGAGACATTTCTGGAAGTGAGGTGGGGGCAAGGGGACACTCAGGCAGTACAGCCTGGACCCCCAGGAGCTAGGGGGTGTCTGGGGGTGATAGCACCAGCATCGGGGTAGTAACCCCAGCCATGGGGCCCGGGCAGGGGAGATGGCGCGATTACTACCTCTTGTCAAAGGCCGTGCCGTGCGTGGCAAAGGCCAGGCGCTTTCGAAGCTCATTCCTCTCCCGGGTCATGAGCCGCAGCTGGATGGAGAGGTTCTCCACCTTCTCGTTCACTTGCCGGTCAGTGAGGAGGGGTGGTGGGGACGGCGCCTTCCCGGTGGTGCCTGTGGAAGGGGAATAATAAAGTGAACTCGCCTTCAGCCGGCATTCACTAGGCGCCCAACACTGTTCTGAGCTGTTGACTTGTGTTAGCTACTCCTGCCACCCCAACAAGTGGGTCCTCTTAGCATTCCCCTTTCACAGGTGAGAACGCTGAGCCACAGAAGTTAGCAGGTGGAACTGAAACAGTCCAGGCCATCTGGCTCCAGCATCCAAGCACTCAACAACCCCAGTAACCGCCCCAGCAAGGACCCTAAAGATGCCCACTCTCTCCCAAACCTGGCTTTCACACCTCCCGGATGCGACGGTTTTGACCGTAATCCTTGCATCCTCCCGTGCTTCAGAAATGCCGGCTGTTTCCCACCACTAGGCATGGCACATGGAGGAGGACAGACCAACCTGTGCCCTGAGGAGAGTGGAAGACCCGGCTCGAGGAGGAAGGCACACCTGAAATCCAGTGACGTTACTAAAGACCAGGGCAGCTGGGGCCCAAGGGCCGTGTCCCCGCCCTCCCTGACCGGGGCTGGACACTGCACAGCTCCCTTTTGCAAGCCGTCCACCCGCCTGACAGACCTGCCCAACCAGCCCAGGCGTGCAGGCTAAAAGGAGGCTGCTGGCTCCCAGCTAAGGTCAGTGTGACGCGATGCAAGTTGGTCCTGATGCCTCTGGGTGCTTAACCCTCACCAGCCCTCATCACCCCTCCTAGGACTGAGAGTCCTGCAGGGAGCCCCACACTTTATGCTCCCAGCACGCAACAGCCACCGCTGCCACCACCGCCTCTGACAAGATCCAAATCCATTTCCAGGAAGAAAGCACCTCATCCCAGGAGAAGAGACCAATCCATGGTGCTTTTATATTGAACCCTGTCAATACGTCTACCTGATATCCCACCCAACCCTTAGAGGAGGTCACAGCAGCCATCCAATGTGTGGATGGGATCTGGCAGGCTGACTTGTGTCAGAAGACACAGTGCTTGTTCCACAATGGACCCACAGTGCACAAAGGGCATGAGGCATGACAGGTCTTTTGACCCTCTGTGGCATCCTGACCACCCCTGTCTCACTGATCCTTGTTGGCCAAATGTTCATGCAAACCAAGAGTACCCCAAGACAAAAGCTGGGGTCTGGGGCCTTCCAGGAGGGCAAGCTCAGCACCGGGCATGATGGGCAGACAACAGTGGGAAGGGAGAGCCTCAACTCCCAGCGCTGTACTTTTCAGTGTTTTCAGGTTGTGGAACCCCAACCACCTGACTCCAGCACCCCCAAAATGCACGACAGTCATGTGCCAAATAACAACATTTCAGTCAATGATGGACCTACATGTTGGATGGTGGTCCCACAAGATTATAATGGCATTAGAAAGAAAATAAATTAAAAAAAAAAAAGATTAAACCACATCTCTACAAAGAAACACAAAAATTAGCCAAGTGTGGTGGCCCATGCCTATAATCTGAAAACTTTGGGAGGCCAAGGCAGGTGGAATCCCTTGAGCTCAGGAGTTTGAGACCAGCCTGGGCAACATGGTGAAATCCTGTCTCTACAAATACTACAAAAAAATGAGCTGGGTGTGGTGTGGTGGCACATGTCTACAGTCACAGCTACTTGGGAGGCTGAGGTGGGAGGATCGCCTGAGCCCAGGAGGTCAAGGCTGCAATGAGCTGAGATCACACCACTACATTCCTGCCTGGGCTAGACACCAAGAACTTGTCTCTAAAAAATAAAAAGATTATAATACAGATGAAAAATTCCTGTCACCTAATGACATCTTGCTGATCCTGACCCTCTGTAGCCCTAGGCTAATATATGAATGCATTTGTGTCTTAGTTTTTAACAGAAAAAAGTTTCAAAAGTACAAAAAAATTAAACATTTTTAAAATAGAAAAAGCCTATAGGATAAGGAAAGAAAATATTTTTTAAGGCTGTACAATGTTTGTGTGTGTGTGTGTGTTTTTTTTTTTTTGAGATAGGGTCTTGTTGTCCCCCAGGCTGGAGTTCAGTGGTGCAATCTTGGCTCACTGCGACCTCTACCTCCTGGGATCCAGTGATCCTCCCACGTCAGCCTCCCAAGTAGCTGGGACTACAGGCATGTGCTGCCACACCCAGCTAATGTTTTCGTATTTTATGTAGAGACAGTGTTTTGCCATGTTGCCCAGGCTGGTCTCAAACTCCTGAGCTCAAGGGATCCACCTGCCTTGGCCTCCCAAAGTGCTTGGATTGCAGGCATGAGCCACCGTACCCGGCCTAATGTGTTTGTATTTTAAGCTAAGTGTTATTACAAAAGAGTCAAAAAGTTAAAAAAAAAAAAAAAGTTTACAAAGTAAAAAAGCTACGGTTTATTATTGAAGAAGGAAAAATATCTTGTGTAAGTCGAATATAGCCTAAGTATACAGTGTTTACAGAGCCTACAGTAGTACAGTCATGTCCTAGGCCCTCACCTTCACTCCCCACTCACTCACCCAGAGCAACTTCCAGTCCTGCAAGCTCCATTCATGGAGGTGCCCCATACAGGTGGACCATTTTTTATCTTTTATTCTGTACTTTTGCTGCACCTTTTCTTTTCTATGTATAGACACACAAATACTTACCATTGTGTTATAATTGCCTACCATATCCAGTACAGTACCATGCTGCACAGGTTCGCAGCCTAGGAGCAGCCGGCCATACCACGTAGCCTAGGTATACTGTAGATACCATCTTTGTGTATCACACTCATGTTTACACAACGACTAAATTACCAAATGAGGATGCATTTCTTAGCATGCGTCCCTGTCATTAAGCAACACAGACTATGTTTAAAGCTACCAGCACCATGACAACCAGGATTTCTGTGCTCCAGGCTACACCTGTAGGGTCAAAATATTCTTTGGAGGTGAGGCCAGGGGTCAGCATCTGCTCTCCCCAAAGCGGTCTCCTCTACAGCTTCAGAAGCCTTCCCACACCTTTCCCGCAAGAGACCCTCAGCTTTACTGCAGCCCCCAGCAGTATTGCGGGTCAGGCAGGTGATGGTGCTATGTCATCTGACTGACCATAACCTACCTGACTCTCCGTAACCTACCTGACTCTCTCCCTAACCTACCTCTCTCCGTAACCTACCTGACTCTCTCCGTAACCTACCTCTCTCTGTAACCTACCTGATTCTCTCTGTAACCAACTTGACTCCCCGTAACCTACCTGACTCTCCCCGTAACCTACCTGACTCTCCCCATAACCTACCTCTCTCCATAACCTACCTCTCTCTGTAACCAACTTGACTCTCTGTAACCTACCTGACTAACCATAACCCACCTGACTCTCCGACAAGTGGAGCTTCCTTTGAACATGCCTGCTACTCATCCTCTAACTAAGCCTAGGGGGAAGTTACGTTCCAGGCATTGATTTCACCGTCACAACAACCTTGCAGGTGTGTACTAATAGCATCATTCCCATTTCACAGGTGAGAAAACTGAGGCCCAGCAAGGTTAGGTGATTGACTTAAGTGCCTAGGCAGCCTGGATTCGGGGCACATGTGCTTCACCCTCATGCCTTGCTGCCTCCCAAATAACAACCATCAGTAACATGCACTTCATGACTGGCAGTTTTTGCTTTGTTTAGACAGAGTTTTGCTCTTGTCACCCAGGCTGGAGTGCAGTGGCACAATCTTGGCTCACTGCAACCTCTGCTTCCCGGGATTCAAGCAATTCTCTTGCCTCAGCCTCCTAAGTAGCTGGGGTTACAGGCATGCGCCACCACATCCAGCTATTTTTTGTATTTAGTAGAGATGGGGTTTCACCATGTTGGCCAGGCTGGTCTCAAACTCCTGATCTCAGGTGACCCACCAACCTCAGCCTCCCAAAGTTCCGGGATTACAGGCATGAGCCACCACACCCGGCCATGCCTGGCAGTTTTTGAAATGCTTTTCATACATTATCCCATTGATCCTCATAAGGTAGGTTTCGCCGTTATCCTCATTTTTCACATCAGGAAACACAATCTTATCAAGGTTAAAGAGTGTGTCCAGGTCACAGAGCTATGGAATATGGAATATGGGCCTCTAAATGATCCTAGAACCCAAGGTATTAACCAGACCTCTGTACTTACCCGGCACTCCAAAGAGCTTTTATTCATAGACGTTATGTCTAATAAAATTTACAAGATTAGAAATTAAAACCAAGAAAGAATTTTTAAACATTTACTGATTTTTTAAAAAATCAAAACTCTATTATAAATTCACTTACGATTTCTTTATGAGCCATTAACCACCCTTTCTATTATAAAACAAAACAATGCAGCAGGAAGAGTGACATTGCTCTGCATTTTGTCATACGGGCTGTTTAACGTCCTGCTTCACAGAGACAGCTGGAGCCTCATCTCTGTGTAATGTCACTGCCACGCACCCAGGATGGAACCTTTGGAAAACTCCACTCTACACCATGTGAGGATGAGAGTATAAAAGACCAGTGACATCCTAGTATCATTACGAAAACAGTCTCACCTCGAGGGCCCTCTGAAAGGACCTCAGGGACATCACGCCACACTTTGAGAATGGCTACTCCACGCTATAATCAAGTTCAAGAAATAGCAGAGAAACATCAAATGACCAGTTTCACAGCAGAAAAGCACCACCAGGCCCAGCAACCTACCTTTGGGGAGATAAGAAATTCTGAATTTTGTAAACGAGGCAACAGAAAGTTGTAGCCCTGGCTTTTGAGGAAGCCAGAGGAGAGGAGAGAAGGTGGCAGGACAGAAGGAGGGGCTCAGAGCTATCCCAACGCATCCCATCTCTGTCTCCAGCTGTCTCAATCCACAGCCATGGGGACCTGGGGGTGGCCGGCCACACAGATAAAGTAGCAGTGACATGTGCCAAGCACAGCCCAAGCACCGGGTTCTATGCTAAACACATTTCCATATTCAACTCATTCATCTCCACAGCTCCCTAGAGGGACTGTGCTAGGATCACTCCTTGAGAAACTGATGTCCAGAGGGACTACATGGCTAGGAAAATGATGATTCCCATGCAGACTCAGCTCTGACGCCAGAGCCAATGCCTCAACCACTCCACAAGAGTCCTCCTAATAGGGGAAGATTCCTGTTCCACTTCTCCTGGGCCAAAGGCTTGAGCACACATACAGAAAGTAAGGCCAACCAGACCTGAGATCCATCATACAGCAGGCTCTCTGACTCAGCAGGAAGCGCAGCTGATGCCTTCAGGCTTTTGTAACTCAGGGATGGGGAGTTGCCATGGAGGGCCACAGGGAGCCTCACAACCAATCTCAAGATGTGCTATACCCAGAAGTTCCCAGAGAAGAGCAAGAGTTGTAGAAAATCCTCTCAATCCCCATTCAACAAAAGTTTTTGTCTTAATTGCATCTAGAGGTGGACAGATATTCTGAAGATGATAGTCCTACCATCCAAATGGTCGTCAGGATCCTTCAAATGGCCACCACTGGGGGCAGGAAAGGGCAAACTACAAAGGTGCAGAAGGGAATTTGTAGGATTCCCTAAAATTCCCTGAAAGAAGGAAGTGTTCTGCATCTTCAAAGGAACAGTGGTTACATGACTATTTGTCAAAACTTGAACTGTATACTTTAAAAATACATTTTGCTGTATGTAAATTATATCTCAATCAACATAACCTTAACAACAACAACAAAATTCTGAGACAGGGTCTTACTCTGTCACCCAGGCTGAGTGCAGTGGCATAATCATGGCTCACTGCAACCTCGACCTCCTGGGCTTAAGTAATCCTCCCACCTCAGCCTCCCAAGCAGCTGGGACTACAGGGGTGTGCGACCATGCCTGGCTAATTATTATTATTATTATTATTATTTACTTTTTGTAGCAACAGAGCCCCACTATGTTGTCCAGGCTGGTCTCGAACTCCTGGGCTCAAGCAATCCTCCTGCCTTGGCCTCTCAAAGTGCTAGGATAACAGGTGTGAGCAACCCTACCTAACCTAAAAAAAATTTAAGTTAAGAAAACCAAACTGTGATGCACTGAATGAAGCCATCATCCTAAGAGTGATGTTGACAGGTAAAGAGATGAGGACCAACCTCCTCTGCTCTCACTGTGGTTATTTACAGTAAACATTTTTTTAAAAACGGGCAAAACAAAAACTACCATCAAGCTGGGTTGCCAACAAAAGCCTCCGATGCGGTTCTAACCTTGTGCAGTTGTTCTTCTGGACTCTAACGCAAAGCTGTCAACTCTCCCGTGACCTCAGCCTTTCCTCTCCCAAGTCTGGCAGCCACTGGAGAAGGAGGCAGATTGTCCTTCTCCTTGTGGTGTTCAGGATAAGATTTCAGAGGTAAGGGATTTAGTTTGGACTTAAACGGCCCAAAGCAGGAAGACTCCAGACCAGGAGTGGGCTCTGGATGGTGAACAAAGAGCAGCCAGCACTGGGCTGGTGGCTTAACAAGGCAGCCCTGGCTTAACAAGGAAGCTGGAGAGGAAAGAAGGAAGCAGGACAGAAGGAAGGGGCTCAGAGCCATCCCAACACAACCTGTCTCAGTCTCCAGCCATGAGGACGTGAAGGCAGCCAGCCTCTCTCTCACCTGAGTGTGAGAAGGAAGGCAGAAGAATCCTGGGTCCCCATCACAGGAATCCTCAGCTCCTTGTGCCAGTTGCCCTGGCTGCTACGGTCACCGGCACCGAGCCTCAGCAAACAGCCTGGCAGCTGGGTGGACTTCTCAGCCACCACCCTTTGTCCTGGGCACCTCACTGCCATGCTCCTGCTGACCCTGGAGGCGCCTCCTCAGTCTTACAGCTAAGCAGTTCTCAGCTTTGCTTCTAAGCGCTGCAGCCCTGTGCTTCCAGGAGCCACAGAGATGTCTTGGTAAACGTCCTGGCCACCTCCAGGCTCTAGCGGCCAGGGAGAGGCGAAGCAGTGGCAGAGCACAGCCATCAGAGCACTAAGTCGTCCGCACCTACAACCCAGGACAGCCAGAGCGATCCAGGAAAGACCCAGTCCCCGCCTGGGGTGAACCAGTACTTCTTAAAGCGCCTAAGCTTCACTAGAGAACCTATTAGAAAGCAAAATTTCAGGTCCCACGTGGACCCACTGAATCAGAAATTCTGGGGGTAAGGCCTTACAGCCCTCTGTGTTGTAAAAGCCCTCCAGGTGATTCTGATGCCTGGCAAAGTTTGAGAACCTCTGTTCCAGACCAAAGTTGCATTTGCTGGCCAGAGTGGACTTACTTCTCCCTTGTTTTACTGGCTATCTGGCAGCCACTGCCTTTAAAGGAATCCCCCATTGATGTCCTCAATGATGAAGGGAAGGACACCTCCCCTTAGTCAATGGGTACATGACTCCAGCTCAGCTCTTTCCCCAGCTTGGAGTGAAAGGAGGTTAGATTCCAATGCAGCAGGCCCAGGCCCCAGCTCTCCAGCCAGATCAAAGAAAGACCTGCTTTCGAACCCTTGACTCAGGGTCTGCTTTTCAGAAACCCAAACCAACATAAGCAGCAATGGCCAACTGCTTCCATTGTGTCTGAGTCCAAAGCACCTTTTCTGGAACGCCTAATACAAGGGTCACTTCCTCCAGGAAGCTTTCTCTGATTCCCCTCATCAGAAGTAACTGTTCCTTCCCCTGTGTTACTTCTTTCTTCCTGCTCTACACAGGGCAGAATGGCCAGTTGTGCCAGACAGCGCCTGTCTCCCTGGCAGTGTGATAACATTAGGGGCCGTGCCTCACCGTGATCCCTATGAGCACTAAAAACCTGCCCCACCAGAAGGAGGCATTCCCACCTCTGAAAAACTGACTTTGCAAAGGGTTACCCCTGATTCAAAAGTCTGGGCCAGGAGGGAAGAATCAGAGGTCACGGGGCGTCAGTGGGCAGCCCCCTGCTTCCCTGATGGCTCATCCCACCTTGCCCTGTCAACTAGAAGGAGCACTTTCAAGGAATCTTCCCTGGGATATGAGGGAAGCCCTCCAGCTCTTTCTCCTGCCGGTGAGTCCTGGAGACCTCTCCTGCCATATTAATGTTCATGGAATATAAGGCTCACTTTACAAGTGCTGCCCAAGAATGTCTCTTCTCCTGCTTAAAACCTCCCCAGTTATCCAAGAAGAAAAATAAGAGGCTACTGAGAAATTAGGTCAGGATGAATGGAGAAGAAAAAATATCCATTGCCTGAAACGAGCGTGCAGTCCCCGGGCAGATCCATAGTGCAGGGTCAGGGGCAGGTCACAACAACAGGCCCAGGGGGCTGCGGAGGGCCTCGGGAAGCTGTGTGTGCTTAGCTGATGGAAACCCATGGAAACTGCCCGAGGAGGCCTTGGCACAAAGACCTGCAGCCTGTAAGGCTGTTGGCAAAGGTATGGCGA